GGCGTGTTCCCTGTTCCCATGGCAACCGGCCCCAGGACCCCCATGGCGGGACGCAGGGGGCTCCCTTATTCCCGTGGCGACTGACCCCGGGACCCCCGTGGGGAGGGGGCTCTCCTGTTCCCATAGCAACCGACCCTGGGACCCCCATGGGGGCTTGGGCACCCTGGGACCGCCCCCCCCCTCCCCCGGGGCTGGAGGATGGGGCTGGGGTCCCGTAACCCCCCCAGCTTCCCACAGGGGCTTCCCCCAGCTCGGAGCCTGGGGGGTGAATGGGAGGAGGGGGGGGCTGCACAGCCCCGCGCCCCCCGGGAACCGAATCCGTGGGGACTCGGAGGCCGCGGTATTCCGGAGTCATTCCCGATTTAGCAGGGAGAAGGAAGGAAGCTGCTGCCCGAGCTGTTCCCTCCCCAGTTCCGACAAAACGCCCCGGAGCTGTGTGGAGCGGCTTGAGTTTTCCTGTAAATCGGGGTGTTTCGGGGACGTTGGTCTCCCCTCGCAGCAGCTCCTTGTGCTTCACCCAGTTCCGCAAGGATAACAGATCCGGGAGAGCGTGTGGGGCTTCCCGGAGCGCGGTTAACGAGGCCGGGAAGCAGGAGAGAGTTAACGATGCGTCTTTCCCGACGTGGTTTCCATCCTGTCGCCTTCAGGCTCGAGTGGAGAGAATGGAGCAATTCCAGAAGGAAAAAGAAGAGCTGGATAAAGGATGCAGGGAATGCAAACGGAAACTCGCCGAGTGCCAGAAAAAAATGAAGGAACTGGAGGTGGCGGATCCGGAAAGCGGGAAGGGGGAGCTGGAGAAGCTCCAGGCCGAAGCTCAGCAGCTGAAGAATGAGGAGAAGAGCTGGGAAAACAAATTGGAGGAGCTGAAAAAGAAGGAGAAGAACATGCCCTGGAACGTGGACACCCTCAGCAAGGACGGCTTCAGCAAGGTGGGTTTGGGGGAGCCCCCGCGGGTCCCCCCCCCGAGTCGCGGGGCTGGCGGCTCACGTCCTTCTGCTCCCCAGAGCGTCTTCAACGTCAAACCGGAGGAGAAGGAGGAAACGGAGGAACAGAAAGAGAAAAAACACAAAACTTTCGTGGAGAGATACGAGAAGCAGATCAAACATTTCGGTGAGTGGCGGGCAGGGTTTAGGGGGGCTGGCAGGCCCTTTCGGGGGGGCTCCCTGCGGCCGCCGAGCTGGGGAACCCCCCCCTCCGCTGTGGGAGCTCGCTCCGGTGCCCGCTTGACAATTTGCCATGTTTTTCCCCAAATTTTTTTGCTCGCTCGCCCAGCTGAGGCAAAGCTTCATGTGCTGCCTTCGTTAATCACAATTTGGGGGGGTTTAATTGAACCTTGGCATGAGTCACACACCCCCCCCCAACTTTTTTTTGCTGACGAGATTTAGAGGCTGTTCTTTTTTTAACGAGCGGAAAAACCTTCCTCTGCTAACTGGGGCTGCCCTGCTTTGAAGGGATGCTGCGGCGCTGGGACGACAGCCAGAAATATCTCTCCGATAACCCTCACCTCGTTTGTGAGGAGACGGCTAATTACTTAGTCATCTGGTGCATCGATCTGGAGGTGGAAGAGGTGAGAAACTGGGATGAAACCCTGTTCCTCCTGCTGGTTTTGTGCCGGGATTGCCTTGTCCTCACCTCGCTGGCCTTTCTGCCGCGGGTTGATTTGCTTTTCCTGCCAGAAATCAGGGAATTGGAGAATCAGGGAATTGGAGAATTGGGGAATTGTTTAGGTTGGAAAAGGCCTTTCGGATCCCCGAGTCCCATCGCTAAGCTAAAGCCACCACCTCCGCCCCAAACCAGGGCCCCGAGCGCCGCGTCTGCGGGGCTTTGCGATCCCCCCCGGGGCGGGGACTCGGCCCCTGCCCTGGGCAGCCTGGGCCAGCGCTCGACAGCCCTTTGGGCGCAGGAATCCTTCCCGAGATCCCACCTCAGCCCAGGTCCCATCCAGGACCTATTCCTTCTCCTGTCGCTTCTTCGTTGGCAAAGAGCCCGACCCCCCCGGCCTCAGCCTCCCTTCAGGCAGCCGTGGAGAGCGCCCAGGGCTGCCCTCAGCCTCCCCCTCTCCAGGCGGAGCCCCCCCAGCTCCCCCGGCCGCTGGATAACGAGGACCGTATATCTGGGGGATCATTTACAGCTGGGGTTGCATACGAGCACCAGAGCCCTCTGATGGACGTATGGAACGTATAGACCTCCCTACGTCGTGCTGATGTGCTCTCTCTGCTTTAGGATTTTACTGGACTCGGCTTTGGACGAGTCAGTGGCCCAAGTTAAGGAGTACATCGCCAGGTAAGCGCGACCGCGCGACCGATCTGAACCTCTCGGCGCCGATACGGCTTCGGACGCCTCTCCCCAGCGGGTGTTTTGGGGGTATTTATCTTATTTAATAGCTGTTTTTTCTCCGAGCCCGCACTTTGCAGAGGGGTGCTGCGGGGCGCCGACCCCTTCTCGCCTCTCGCCCCGCAGGTTCGCCGCCGAATGTCAGTCCTGGGATCAGCTCTTGCTGCGCTACCAGGAGAGCGCCGAAGAAATGTCCAGGTGTGGATCGTTCCCCCCCATCTTACAGCTGTTGGGTACTTGAAAAGAGAACGGAACGTCAGAACCTGCCTCGGATGACGGCGCCAGCGCTGCCCGAGGGATAAATGACTTTATTTCGCAGGCAGCTGGCGGAGTGCAAGCGGAACGGAGGCCGGGCAGAGCCGCGCGGTCGTGTGGGGTTGTGATGACCCCAAGTGCAGGATCCGGCCTTGAACCTTCTTAATCTCATCCCGTTGGCCTCAACCCATCGATCCGGAGGGATCTACCCCCCAGCAGATCCACGCTCCCACCCGCCTCGCTGTCTTCTCCAAACTCAGGGTGCGCTCGATCCCCTCATCCAGCTCATCCGCCCGCCGCCGCCGTCTTCCCCCTCCCCATAAAAAGGGGTTGGGGATGAGCCCCCCCAACCTCCCCGACGCGGGGAACGTGGAGCTGGGTGAATTTTGGGGTCCTCACCTCCCTTTTTCCCCCCCAGAAACACGCCCTGATGGAGCAGGTAGCCCACCAGACCATCGTCATGCAGTTCATCCTGGAGCTGGCCAAGAGCCTGAAGGTCGATCCCAGGGCTTGTTTCAGGCAGTTTTTCACCAAAATTAAGGTGAGAACCGGGCTGGATCCCCCCCGGAGCAGCTGATTTTTCCGGCACCGCTGCTTGGGGGTGAAGCGACGCAGCCGGGCGGGACCCCAGGATGGATTTGGGGAGGGGGGGGGGGGCCCGGAGGAGGATTTGGGGGGGGGGGGAAATGGGGGTCCAGGGGACCCACGGCCCCCCCTCACGCCCCTCTCCTGGCAGACGGCCGACCAGCAGTACATGGAGGGCTTCAACGACGAGCTGGAAGCCTTCAAGGAACGGGTGCGAGGTCGAGCCAAGGTTCGCATCGAGAAAGCGATGAAGGAATACGAGGAAGAGGAGCGACAGAAACGCCTGGGCCCCGGCGGGCTCGACCCCGTGGAGGTGTACGAGTCCTTGCCGCCCGTGAGTATCACCCCGTGATTTTATTGGTTTTGGGGGTAAAACGGCAAAGTTTGGTCCGGTTTTAATGCTTGGGGGTGTCCTCACGTGTTCCCCCTCTTCTCTTCGGCCTCGCAGGAGCTGCAGAAATGCTTTGACGTAAAAGACGTTCAGATGTTGCAAGACACGATCAGCAAAATGGATCCTACGGTGAGCGATTCTTGCCTGGGGGGGGGGGGGGGCTCCCAGGGGGAGGGGGCGGGGGGCCGGCGGTG